AACCTAGGCAACATTAAAGACTTAGATAGTAGACTTTTCTATACAAGTAGTTAAGACTTATCAGGCCTACCTAATTTTTAGGAATGAGGCATTGGAAAAGATTCTGTACTTAAGATAACAGAACTGGCCCAACTGGCTGTTGCTTTGTACATTGTACAAGCTTTGACTCAGTGGTTGTCAGATGTTTCCAGCCCTGAATGATTGTCCTTTTTTAGCCCTCAGTTGTTAAATTCATGTAAACTGGTATGTGGGGCTTGACAACCAAAAACCAGGGTTTGTATATTGAAATTCAGCTGCATCTGGATTGAACCAGAAATTACATAGATGCCATGCCAGAGTAATAAAGAGGTTGAATAACCAGCTTCTGTAATTTTTTGAGTGATTTTAGGTTCTTAAACATAGTTTTGCAAAACTTTTTTTTTTTTTTTTTTTGCTTTGATGGATGTGCTTGTGAGCGTCTGACCTGCAATTCCTCCACTAATGCAGAGGGAGAGGCACTTCTGGCCACCTTTGCTAAGGCAGTGCTGAGTTTCTTAGAGTGACCCCCACGATCAGGAACTTAACAAACACAGCTGCAGCTGTGTTTTCTTTGAAAGAGAACTATCCACACTTTAATACTCTTTGCAATGTGTTGTGGATTGTAGTTGCAAATACCATTTTTTATGGCATGAAAAGTCCTCCCTTCATGTTTTGTCAGAAGCATACATCCGTTTGTAATGATATACATATATAATATGTATATATAGTGTATATTATATATATATAAAGTGACTTCATAGCTCATGTTAAGATAAGGCCATCCTTTAAAAATAAAACCTTACAAAATTTTATATAGTTGTAAACTAAAGTTATGAAGTTATATGTGAAGTTAAAAGATTTTAAATGCAGTTCTGCTTATCTTAGTGGAAAACCAGATCAGAAGTTGTCAGCAGAGTACTTTTAGCAAAGTTCTGTCATGACTCTGAAGACGAAAAGCAAGATAGACAAGGATTTAGAGCTAATGCAAAGATGCAAAAAGAAAAGGGAGTGTATGTGTTTCCTCAGAGAAAACCATAAAACAAAATGTAAAAAGTGGGAAAATTAAGGTGTGTCCACTCTGAGCATATGTTTGACATTAACCTATAACAGGCAGGTCTCTGTTAAATGAAAAACTAGAGTTCTGTTGAATAAGGGACACATACCAAGCCAACCGGACTGGACAAAAACTTGTTGCCCTTCTATGGAATATCCATAATGACTGAATGTTCTCTATGCATCCTTGATCAGTTTGGTGTCTGGATCTACACTGTTCTTTATACACAGAGATGTCACACAAACCTAATTTTTGGAGCTAGAGGTGGGATTATGTGGTTCTACCAATCCTCCTAAATCCTAACACTTAAAGAGGGAAAAACCCTCATTGTTTTAATTTTGTTTTCTTAATAAATAAATAAATAAATAAATAAACAAACAAACAAACAAACAAATAAATAAATGTTAAAATTTGTCAGTGATTTGTCTGTGGACAAACACTGGGTTTGATACTGCCATTAGCAGTTTAGGGATGAAAGGCTTTGAGTGTTGTGCTCTCTGGAGTATAACTCTGTGCTTGTTCATTTTCACTTATGAGATTTGCATGTACAAAGCCTTGGTCTTCACTGTGCCCATAAGTTTTCCACAGTGATTATGACTAGGGTTCTTAAATGATACTGTAATTACCATTATTCATAGTAATGTCTTATTAGTAATAATTACTAATAGTCTTGATAATCCCCTGAGGAAAAATACTGTAGGTTGAAAGCCAGAGATGGAGACATTATAACGAAGAGAGACTCATTCCTTGTGTCCTTCTTGTAATGAAATAATTTATTCCCAGCTTTATTTGTGGGTGATGAAGAGATTTCTGAAGAGAATTCCCTCAAAACGACCCTCTGTGCCCACCTGCAAAGCCCCAAAGGTTAGGAGTGAAAGAACAATCAGGCCTGTGCTCTGACTACTGTGAATAATTCAAGCAGAAAATATACTATATCCAATCTTCTGTCTCTCCTTCACTTTTTCTTCATCTTAATTTTCATGGTCTTCTCTGTTTCCGTAAGGCTGTAGTATGTGGTAGACAAAAAGTATAGTATTTATAGCTTGGTAGACAACATCTTCCCAGAAAATTTTCGGAAAACCTCCTTGGTTTTATATTCTTAAATTCACTTTTAAAAATGTGCACAAAGCTCTGATTGTGTTTATCTATGGCTTTAAAAGAACAATAATCAAAATGAACAGCATTCTGTGATCATGCAGTCTTCAGATCCAGTAACAAAATTCTTACTCACTTATACAAGTGCACCTCTGTCCAGTGGTTTGTCCCACATATACAAAATGTGCCTGCAGCTCTTGGCATCATGAAGAGCAGAGAGAGAAATATTTCTCATTGGCTGGGAAGGCTCCGTGCAGATGAAGTAACGCAATCCTGAACGGTGTGCTCAGATTTTTTCAATAAAGGTTTTTCGTCACTACAGAGCTTTATATAACAGCAGGAAAGGCAAGAAAGGAAATTAGAAACACAGCTGAGACTACATCTCATACTTAATAATGGCCTAAAATTCTTACTGTTTATTAAAACTAACACCCCTTGTCAGGGTGTTGATCAAAAATTCTCTGCAGTCTCTTTACTTTGATCTTTTCATTTTACAAACCATAGATATTTGTTGCCATTTCCTTACTTAGTTTTATGTCTAAAACCTTGAAACTCAAAGCTGCTTTCCAATAATGTTGCATGATAAGGAGTAATCCTGAATTCATCGAGCCAGCAAACTCATCACTAAACAAATTTGTCCACTCACAAAGAAAGGAGAATTTTGGTGTAACACAAACAGAAATGGTCAAAGATGACACTAAAAAGGATGTTTTAAAAACCCTGTCATCTCTATGAGTCTTATGCTTCTACTGCTGTCCGGTCGGAGTATGGACATAACCTATTCTAATGTACACATTTACCTTTTGTTTCAGCAGCTCCCCAGCTCCTGCACATGCAAAACATTTGAATTTCCTGTTGGCTCAGAGGTGAGATTTATAACATTTATTAAAGTTGCTTTTCACCGTGAGTTTACTGGGCAGAAAGCCTAAGAGGGCCTTTTTTTTAAGGGGATTTAATTGCTTGAATTTACCGGAGGGGTGAACATTGTGCTTTCTTTGCAGCACCACTATCCACTAAGATTTCCAGGTGTTGAATTTCCCTAGAGGTTCCCTATTTATTGAAGGAATTCATGAAATATCCATCTATCCAGAGCCGGAGCTCCTACCATCTCTTTCCCATTCATCGTCTTGACTTTGTTTCCTTCACGGCTGCTTTTGAATTTCTTGATTGACCCTGCTCATTTCTGTCCGTTCCTCTCCATGAATGTCCTCCCTCCTCTCTGCTTGAGCACCTTGGCCATTACAAATGGCCAGACTCGCTCAGAACTGAATGTGCCTGAAAGCTTTTTGCTGTGATGTGGCTGCTGGTGCAGAGGGACAGTTCTGTGCCAGAAGGACACTGGTGCTTGTTAGCAGGATGGGACGGAAGATGAACAGAGCACAGGACAGACAGGACAAGTAGAGGGAAGGGTGGAGAGCGAAGAAGTATTTTGCAATGTTTAAAGTGAAAACCTATAAAAAGCCCTTTAAAAATCCATGAATGGACTTCTCAACAGATGGCAACCCTACTGTCAAGCGGGCCCAAGGCAGGCAGACCATAATTGTTAGCAAGTGTATTGTTAAGGGAATTTACTAATTTATTGATGCAGCAGCCGCTTCAGTTGAAGAATAAATTGGAATATTTTGGTGCATTTCCTTTAAAAAGTCATCCGCTTTTAAGTCTATGTATTAAAATTACATAGTCTTAAATGGGGGTCTCCTTTGCTAAACAAAAGATATGCAAATTACTTTTCAAGATTTATATTATGATAAAAACCGAAACACAAAAGAGACATTATCTTGCAAAAATGTAAAAGTACATTGCTTCATGAGTCTATAATGATATAATGTGATGTTGATGTAGTTAAAGATGTCAGAAGGGAGACAATGACCTTAAAAGTTTAAGGCAGACACATTAATATTGATTGATTTTTAAGAGATTAAACAGCAAGAATATATCTATACATAGCCTGGATATTGGATTGTTTGAAAATTTGAGATGAGATACAGAACATTTTGGTCTTGTAATGCTTTAGACCTAGTAACAAGAACATGCTTTAAATGCAGCCATTTGTCCTACAAGAAACTGGATGAAGATTTGCCTTGAATTTATCAGACTGTGAACTATTTCTTGTAAAAACTAGCAATGTTTGTCAAAGCTGGGTGATTATTTCTGGCTTAAGCACAAATACTGGTCTGTCATAGGAGATGTCATAAAAGTCCTAATGTAGGTTTTCTTGTTTGGTTGGTTTTGACCCTGTTCCATATCTGTGTATATCTGTATGGAGTCTTACAACTATTTGATATACACACACACATACACATATTCCTGTAATATATTGAGCACTGTAAAACCTCAGCACTTTCTGACCTTGAACCAAATAATGTGACTGCACATCAATCATGTCATTTGTTTTTCCTATTTTTTCACAGAATTGCAGCATCACAGAATAGGCCAAGTTGGAAGAGACCCACAAGAATCATCGAGTGCAACTCCCACCCCTGCCCAGAACCATCCCCAAGAGTCACACCACGTGCCTGAAAGTATTGTCCAAACGTTTCTTGAACTCTGTTGGGCTTTGTGCTGTGACCACCTCTCTGGGAAGACTTTTCCAACACCCAACCACCCTCTGGGTGAAGAACCACTTTCTAGTATCCAACCTAAACCTCTCTGGCACTACTTCAGGTCATTCCCTTGGGTCCTGTCACTGGTCAGCACAGAGGAGAGGTCAGTGTCTGCCCCTCTTGTTCCCCTCACAAGGAAGTTGTAGCTGCAATGAGGTCTCTCCTCAGTCTCCTCTTCTCCAGGCCGAACAGACCAAGTGACTTCAGCTGCTGCTTATATGGCTTCCCCTCAAGGCCCTTCACCATCTTCATTAACCTCCTTTGGATGCTCTCTAATAGCTTAATATCTTCTTGTTTAAGTAAGTTTAGGCTCATTCTTATATCCATGCTTATGCCAGCAAAGTCATGAAGATATGTGCTTCTCATTGAGGGGGAAGGTGCTAAATATTGTGGTATTTATTATTCCCTTAGGGCAATTCATTTTATCATCTCAGGCTGATGAAAGTTTCATCTCACAGATGAGCTGTATACTCTTAATGAGACTTTCACTAGCCAGACAAATGAGGATATTGGTCACTGTTGACCCTTTAGACTTCTAGGAACCAGGCCACAAATGCCTTGGACACAGCAATTAAGAATTCAACTTGCAAGAGAGAGCAGGTGTGACCTGTATGACTTGGACCATCTTGCTGAGAAGAGATCCTGAAGCATTTTACAAGCCGAAGATTTTCATTCAGAATCAGACCTCACAAAACATGAGGCAGATAAACCTAAGGTGTAGACCACATTTATAGAGCGGTTATTTTGATATCACTTTCCAATGAATCATTAGTCTTTTACCTTTTTCTCCCCACATAGGAAGGGATAGAACATCAATATCTGAAGGAAGGAGGACATCTGGGAACCTGGACTTCAGCACAGATATTTAACATAATAGAGAATTCTTGTTTTCCAAGAAGCAAAGACAAGAAAAATTATCATGTGACCACTTTGCCTCCAGATTCATTTTTTTAAAAATAGAAAAAATAGATACTTTTTTGTAGAACTATCAAAAAGCAAAGGGTCTGGGTGTCATAACTGCATACTGTTTCACCAATGGTAAAACCTGCTTTGACCCTCCGGTATAAGAAAATAGCCCAAACAGCCTGTTTAGTAAACCAGAGAAAGCACAGTGTCTCCAAAGGGCCTGGCCTAAGTGAGTATCCAGAATCCCAGCAAGCCAAGAAATTCGAAGGCAGTCAGACTTGATTAAATTATTTTTTACTACAAATCTCATTTCAGAGAATGATTAACGGGAGAAGAGACATAAATGGCAGTCTTGATCAAAGGAGCTGCTGTCAGGGTACCATCTAGATAAATTAAGAAAAGAATGCTCAGGTTTCTGTGAAAGAAGACTAATGACATTAAGTCAGGATGAAATAGAAAGAAGCAGCAGTGCAGGCTGAAATAAAAGACTAGCCTGTCCTGACAAGAAGCCCTGAGAAATTTCCTGAACTAAAAAAGTTACTGGAATTGGAAAGGAATGATTTTCTGTAAGTGCCGGGTCTTGAAGTTATTCAAGACCCAGTCGTGAAATTTACTCTTTGGAACCTGTCAAGACAAGTGAAGGAATCCTCTGGAAGCACCTGAAACAGCAGTTGTTAATATCAGCTCTATACACTGCAGCTGTTCTGCATCTCGTGTGCTCACTCTACCCAATGAGGATCAGCTCCTTCACTTAAAGTCTGAAACAGTCCCAGCTGCAGGCAAGCAAACAGAGGATAAAAGGAGAGTGTGAAACCAACAGCCAGTAAATGTTTATGTAACTCAGGGAATCTGTTTACAAGAAAGCAGGAATGGCAATCTCCCGGAGGAAGCAGTGGCCCTAGCTGAAATCTTGGGAGGACTTTAAAAGTGATCTGAAGGTACCTGTGCAAACAGATGTTTCTCAGAAGGTAGGACTTTGTCTTTGGGTATACCAAAAAGGATTTCAAAAAAGTAAATTACAAAACCCCCCCAAACCCGTTTCAGTGGCAAAAGTGTACTCCTGGAAGTCTAATGTTTAAACCAAAATAAGATGCCCCATTTCTCAGGAAACATTGAATTGTTGTTTAAGTGTTGACTTAGTTTTCTAAGAAACGCTAGCGTTCCTAGCTAGAGGAGCAGATCTTCCATTAGAAGTTTCCTTGCCTTAGATTTAGATTATAATATAGAGTACATTTTTGCAGACAAGCACTTAGTGTGATCAGTACTAAAACTGTATGAGATTAGCTAATGTACTTTTCTGTGATGTGCAAAGTGAATGCCAGGACGCCCCATTGTACCTGACTGCAGTAGCATGAAGTTATGCTTCAACAGCCTTCCATTGTAATGTAGCATTTTGAAGGCAGGGAAGCAGTCTCTGGGGTGTTGCACATCAGCAAGAAATTATTTTTGAAAGTAGGAAATAAAGGAAGAGTTTGAACTGATGTTTAGAACAAATAAATGGGAGCAGCAAAACTTTTTGTAGTGGTATTACACGCCGTCATAGAACAATAGCTAAATGAAGCATGTATTTAAAATTTGGTGAGAAGCTTTTGTACGTTTTAGTTCTGTTTGGCTCAGCGGGTGTGCTGCACTTTAGACTTCAGTCTCCAGAGCTGTCAATCCAACAACTTTCACAAATGCTATATTCACTTAAAAGCTGAAAGAGGAAAATAGAAGGAGATGATGTTAATAGCACTTAGCACTTATATAGCTTTCCTTCCTGAAAGTACAGTGCAAACATGAGGTAATTAACAAGTACTTTGTCTTGGAGATGCAAATGTGTATCTAAACAACCTTTAAGCATAGAGAACACAGACACCTAAGACCAACCTATGCCCAACTGCACATTTTCATGTGTAAATATTGCAAAGTGGTATTTATGGTATCATTTCTCCGTGTAATCAATCAGGAAGTCCAGCTTGTGGAAAACAACACAGTATATTTCTGCATGCAGGGCTCCTTCACTGTGTGAAGAACTTACTGTAATGATTTCAGGTTTTATTTGATGAAGTGCCTAATATAGGTAACCACCAGAAAGTTATACAAGGGGGTGTGGTGTTAAAGTCAAAATATGTGATTTAGTTGCACAGATGCACCAGTTATTCAAACTGCCAACAGCCTCTGTAGCAATCCTGCTGTGCATGCTCTTCTCCATCAGCTCCAACATCTACCAACCTGGCATTAGGTACTCTGAATATGTTGCACAATGTCTTGTACTCTTGGACAGATAGTTATCCATCTATCTGCTTGCTTAGAAAGTTCAAAATCTTAAAAGGAGAGAACCAGAAAAGAGAGGTTCAGCTGGCACTGAGAGAAGGGAAATCCTTTCAAGGAGAAAAAGGGACAGATAAAGTGACTAATCTCAGACTTAACATTTTTCTAGAAATGAGAGAGAAAAATGTCTGCAGGTATGATGTGTTCTCAGTTACTTTTTTTCTGGTTAAAATAAAAGTTTGGTGGTGTTTGCAAAGCTAGAAGTAGATTCATAAGTTAATTTGTTAATTAAAGAGTTGTTCTGAGCTCTGGAGCTACCAAAGGCTGGCTGTGGATCAGCCAGGATGCAGAGCAAGTCTCCTGGGGAATTGTCTGTTTCACTCTCCTCTTTATTCTCTGGCTATTATGACTTTAAAATGGCAAATCTGTCAATTTTGCAATTTCCTCCAGTAATAGAGTTTTGGCAGAAGCTGATGCCTGTGCTGTACTGTACTCATGCACAGTTAGGTAACCAACGCATGCTCCATTTGAGAGAGGCACGAAAAGCTCCTCAAAGTTACTGCATTATAGTCTCTCTCAGTGCTGAGCTCAGCTGCTGAGAGCAGAGGAGGTGTGAAAAGGCTTGTTAATAAAAGTCTGTTTAGATTTCATTACTGTGAGCAGCCAAATCAAGACAATACAGACCTTGCCAACCCTCTGAGAATTTCAATGTTCTCTGGAAATACTTTCTTTCCTTCACTGGATACCTTTCCCAGTTGAACGTTTATGCCATGCAAGCAGAGCTCTCCCCTGCCACCTTTGAAGAATAGAGAGAATGGAGACTGCCTTCCTTTTGTAGAGAATGGAACAGGAAAGATGAAGGAAGGGCCTAATCAGACACACAAAAGAAGAAGCCTCCAGCTCAGCCTTCATTTTTCAGCCTTCTGTTTCCCCCTTGTTTTCTTTTTAAAACTAGAACAGGGAACTCCTTTGAGTTACAGGAGGAACAAAGATGACTGGTATGGAAGATGTGGCACTCTGGTACAGTGGTGTTGCAAAAATGCCAAAAGCATTGGGAAGGGGCATAACTCACTGATTGGCCCCTAGGTTGGTTATGTTTGACTCCCAGCTGGGGTTTGGGAGTATGTATTAGCAAGCTCTGGCACAGCTTTTGGGTTGTGCCAAAAGCATTTTATTGGCCAGATCCAGAGGAGTCTCCTACCAAGATTAATTGGAAAAGAGGTGCAGTCAGCCACAAAAACTCTAAAAAGATATTAAGTTCTTCTTCACAATGACTCTGACCTCTGAGCAGTGAAATCTTCTGCATTTCTGAATGAAAGCTGTAGCCATGGAGGTATCTTTGGCTGCATGACCAGCCCTAGTCTTTGACCAATTTGAGGATTTTAGTGATGTTTTTCAGATCACTATGAAAGAAAAATCCTAACCTGTGGCAGACTTGGCATGCAGTGTGGACAGGCTTTTTTTCCCCCCAGAAGATTAAACCTCTACTTTAATCACAGTGTTTTTACTTTGTTGTGGTCTTTTTAATGTTCTGCAAGTCTTAGATATTTATTAAAGTTTTTTCATGCTTAACTCTTGATGAAAGCAGATATAGGCCTCCTAAACATAAATGCTACTGTTCCTCTCTCTGTCAGCATAAACAATCACCTGAATATGCTGAATATATATATATATATATATATATATATACACATATACACATACATGTCAAACCCAACTAGTAATAAATGAAATGAAGTAGTTGCTGGGAAGCTGAGCCAGTCCAGTTCACCGTATATTCCACTGTGTTGAACTTTCATTATAAATTCAAAGTAAATTACAAAGGTCAGTAAAATCTTAGTTCACTTTTCTTTTCACTTGTCCACTTGTATTTTCGAAATAAGTCTCAAATTTAAATGATTAATGACCTAACTTAATCAAAAGGAGACTTATTCAGAGAAGAACATATATTAAATAACACATTTCCATACACATATTTTGCATCATTACTGAGTGATAACCTAATACAGTTAATTAGTACCTTTCTCCCTAGTATAACTTATTTGTCATGAAGAGTAGGATTTAGTCCTTTTCATCTTTTGTTATGTTGTGACTTTTGGTGTTATGTTTAGTGCTTGCAGTACCTCGCCCTTTCAGGAGATCCAGAAGGGTGATATTTTACTTATTCCATCATTGCAATCTTTTCTGTAGAGTTACTTACCAAAGCATTTTGTTACCTGGAGTGGTTAGTGGTGTAGTCATTGAAGTCAATATGACTTTCACAATTGATTTCAATGAGAAGAGGACTGTGTTGACTGCGACTGTGTCACCCTAGTAAAAGATGAACATTGTGCCCTTTTAAGTACCATATCACACCCATATTTTTAAGAGATCACCTGTAAAAAATGGCTTAGAAAAGGAGGGGAAGAGAGATGTGTCTGTTAGTGCAAACCTTACCTTCTGAATTCTGTTTCTTCTTGCAGGAGAAAAATAAAAAATATGAGGTATGTACTGTATATTAATATTTATTCAAACTGTCTTCTGATGCATTGCCTTTCTGATGCTACATGGTGTTCTCCTGCACTATTTCCCAGCATGATGGCTAATGTCCTGCTCTGAAAATTATCCATTAAAATTTTATCAATTTTGTGTTTTGGTGAGACAGTATGAGGAAATGCCACTGGAAAATTAGATTCCTGTTTGACATCGGGCGCCCAGTCAGCAATCCAATCCCATGTGTTTCTACTGAGACATTAGGATTTGATATAATTTTGGGCAGAAAACATTTTAAAATGAAACAATTGAATTTTCTAGATGGTCTTGGGGACCACTTAGCTTAAGAGAATACACTTACAAATCAAAAGCCTTTCAATCATTCTAAATATTATTTGGATGATATTTGCTTTATGTGTAGTAGCAGTTTGAATTTGTATTGAATGCTTGACTGGCTCGTGCTCACATAGATGATGTATGAAATTATTATTTCATATTTTTCTAGTGTTTGCATTGCAAGTGACATCTGGCTGACAGGAAGCTGGAGAAATGGGATATGAAGTGAATGCTGCAGTTACCACAGTATCATATTTATCAAAAGGCTTAAGGTTGGTCTGTCTTTGTTTAACATGTGAAACTAACAGCAATGAATAAGAAACAGCACTTTTTTTTTTTTTAAACTGAGCTGCTTAGAAAATGAAAATAGATGAAGAAAAAATGTTAATGGTATTCTGTTGATTGAATTAATTTATGTTGACAGTCATGCATACTGGCTGAAAGACAGTTCTCAGCTTGTTTGGAGGGGTTGGTTTTGTTGCTATTACGCCTTTAGATTTTGGTTAATGTTATATCATTCGTACATAGTATATCACAGATAGGGAAGTCTGGAACAAGCTACTGTAGCAGACTAGCACAGTTATTTTTAAAATAAAAGTGTTCAGCTACACAAGTTTAAGGGTGGGTTTAATTCTAATTGCATAATGACTTTGAAATGTGCCTATTGAAATCCTTTCTTTAACCAAACTCAGACCCTAACACATTTTCATTCGGCCCTTGTACTTGTCTAATAGTAAATTGTTTCTTGACTAGAATACAGGTTTCAAAAATTATTCTATTATTTTACAGTTTGAAATGTGGTATGAAAATTTATGATTCTTTAGAAATACGACTTCAGCCTTTAAAAAAGGCATTTTAAAAATGCATGTGGTTTGGGAGGAAGCTCTGCTCTTGTGTTACAGAACAAAACCAAAAGTGATACAGTGAAATGTCCAGCTTCTGGCCATGCCCTGGCTTCTACTCTGACTAGAGGTGTCTCTTGGACACTTTTTATCACTGCCTTGCTATCTTTCATCCTTGCTGGTTATGAAGAATGTGGAATTTGTGTGAAGGAAACCCACCCTAGAAAACTCCTCTATTATTTCTCAACTATCCTGGAAGGAAGGAATTTTGGGGCTGTATGGATGTGCTGTTCAGAAGAGAAAAGCAAGAAGAGATTGTACAGGGATAGTGGGGTGGGTAGAACAGACTAGGAGGGGAGAAGTCTGCCTAAGAAAGACAGATGTCAGACTAAATAATCGAAAAATAATTGCATCTGTACTGTTGCCAAGTGATTTTCTGATCTATGAAGTTATCAAACTGAGAGTATTCAGCATCTTCCAGAACTTGGACCCTTCCTTTTAAACAAATAGACAATCCAGCTGTGTGGTCCAATTCACAGGTAGAAAATACTAACAGTAATTTTTCTTTAAGTCTGCAATTGCAAGGTCTAGTTGGGAAATTTAAAAAAAAGACAACAAAAAAAACGGATCAAAATTAAAAGAATTGAGGGCAAGAAATACAAAGAAAAACAATCCCAAATTGTTCAAAGAGGAAAATTTTATTCCCCTAAGTGAACCTCAAGAACTGCCCATCTATTTACTGATGGTATAGGGAGTTTTCCTGTCCTCCCCTGTTAGACACCAGCAGTGTGAATACCTTCACTCAATTTTTCTCTCTGCTTTTGCAAACGTCTCCAGTCAATAAAGGCTGGACTTTTTCTTTGCCATACTTGCCTTTCCTTTTTGTTTTCTTGACAGACAATTGAGCAAAGATCACTGAGATGTTGATCACTTCAGACCAGCTAAAAAGAGTATCAGATTAGAGCATTCAGAGCAGTAAGTGTTCTGGGTGTAGCAATGACAGAAACAGAAATGATCAGAAAAGCAAAGAGCTGATGCTGCAGCACAGTCTGAGGCTGGTTTCCTAAGCATTGCATAGTAGTTCTTTGCAGCAATTCTTTAACCATGCAGAATTCTATATATCATTCATTGGAATATGCTTTGCAATTTTAGATAAAGATCACAAAGTATTTACCTTATAGTGGCTTTGGATGTTGTGGCAAAGAATTTGTCATGAGGAAACATTAGGTACCTTGTCACTTATGAAACAAAAAAAGAGAGCCTTTCTGAATGGGTACTGGTCACTGTTGCGATTCCCATGTGCTTGGATGGTTTGTTGTAGATGGATTAATATAAAACATAGTTTGCTTACCTGTTTTCCATGTTGTTATTTATTCTTTCTGAATATGACACCTTTTCTTGGGTTCCTTTAAAGCTCAAGAGAATGGATATCTATCATGCCTAAAGCATGTTACTTTGTTTTTCTGCAGTGAATGTATCCAAACTCTACTTGTGGAAGAGGTGGACTCCGTGGGCCAGGCCCCCTATCTAAAATTTTTACTTACTGTGTCTTTTCTTACTGACGGAATGATTCATATACAGACACATACAAGATATCTTGAACCTCTGTTAAACAAGTTTGCAAGTGTTGCTGCCCCCTGTTGAGCTAAAATCACAGAAGTCTTCAATATATTTTTTTCACTTTAATTCAGCTTTGTGTGTTGTATTATGCTACATAGTATTCTGTCTCTACTTTGTGGCATATGAAACAAGGCTGTCCTGGTTTTTAGCCGATGTTATTTATGGTCTGTGATGATGTACACGTCTACTTCTCTGTCTACCTAGCCACACACTAAGATTTTATCAGCTGCTGGTTAAGATTGTTAGACTTCTTGTATGCCAACACAAACAAAGAGCAAGGAAATAAGTGGTTAAGTAATTCAGCACCCCATTTACACTACTCTCATCAGCTCTCTTTCTCAGTCTCAACTACCTCACTTCAGTGACCACAGTCGCACTGTTTCCAGCTTCATCCTGATCACATTAGTTTCTTCTGTCTACTATTCAAGACAATGTTTCTTTGGTTCTGCTCCATGATTTTACACTTTCTATCTTGAATATTTGTACCCCAAACTAAGACATCATTAATTAAAAATTAGGAGAAGTCTGTAGATGATGGTTATTTGATAGACTGCAAGTTAAGAGCCGAGAGTCTGTGAAACACTTCATTGCATTCTTTAGCATTGTCCTTTGTGTGCTGAGTAGTGAAGCCATGCTTCTTCTTAATAGTTTGCATTTACAGTCTGTTTCACACAACAAGAGTGGGTCAGACTTCCTCTATTGCTCTTTTGAACTTTCCTCAGCCTGTGGAGAAAACCAGGTTGGTCAAAGGTCTGATCCCTTTGAAAGAGGAATTTTGGCACTTAGTTCTGTGGGGGTGAAGATGAAAGTGAATGAAGGATACTCAGTATAAACAACCTTTGCTTTTCAAGAGAAGAGTAGGAGCACCTTCATATACTACAGGAACAGAGTTCTCTAGATCATGTTAATGTCAGTTGAAGTACTTGCAAGTGAATTTTGAAGCAATTTTAAGGAGTGATTTGTATATATAATAAGAGCCAGAGAAAAAGTATTCACTTTTTGTTTAATGACTTAAACTAGTATTAACTGTGATAGACTTATGAACTGCCTGAGACACTTCAATACAATAGCAGACACTGAATATATTTTTATTTAAAGTTTGCTTGGCAAAACACGGCAGGAAGGGGAAAAGAGGCAAATGGACATAAGCACACAAAGCCATGAACCTGAGGGTTTTTTCCCCCCTCCCTTTTATTCCCAGTTCTTACCTCTGGAACAGTCTTTGGATAAACAGCAATCCTGAGGTAATGTACCATAATAGCAAAAGCTCTCTAAAGAGGGTGGAGTGGAAAAGAAAGGGGAGATTCTATGATGATAAATAAAGTCATTTCCCTTCAGCTTACCTTCACAAAGTTTTAGGGTAGTTTTAGAAGAGTGTTGTAAAAAAGAATGTTGCCTGCTTGAAACATTGCTTTCCCTAAAGGCAACACACTAGTGTATTGGAAGATACTTGTCCTCCTAGATGAGAAGAATTTCAATTCTTGACCATGGACATCCTAGGCTGGACTAAACAAAGAGTGTGGAAAGACCTCAGAAAGCCATTTTTACTCTCTATTATGGCTAAATGCTGTTATGACACATCTGAAGATATTGCTGTTACTGACTGATTTTGGCCTAATCTGTTTAACATTTTGATAGAATATTTGGGTTTTTTCCCCTCTTTATATTAGCTTTGAATGGTTTGATTTCTGCTTTGTAATTGTTGTGCTCCTTTTTTTTTTTGTTGCTCCTTGTTATTTTTGTCCATATTAAGAAAAATAGACTTAATTTATAAATTTTTGGCTAGAATAAACCTACCCTGCCTACTTTGCAGGTGGTTACATAGCACTCAAAATAAAAAAAAGAATGTGTAAAGTTGCCATAATGATGGTAATAGCTGTGAATTCCAATGATGATTTTAGGGATGGAGAAAGTCCTGAGTGTATGATCCTTCCAGTATGTATGTTGGTGTCTGTTCCTTGTCTGTGGACTAATCCTTTTTGAAGCCTTCCATACAGATCTAATTTGACTCAAAGCTCATCAATCTGAGGAGCTCTTTAGTAACAGCTATTTTGAAGTCTAAAATCCTTTAGAAACACTGTTTCACCATCCAAGAAGTTGACTTTGGCTCAGATAATAGAAACCTTGTCACCTCAGAAACACAGCAATTGCATTTCATAGCTAAAATAAAATGGGATTTAGATCCTTACACCCTAACCATAGCCATGTGGTTGGAGACTGCTAAATTCACATGAGAATGCATGTATGTGCTCCTTCTGACAACTCTCCCTTTCGACCTGCAATCACTTCAATATAATATATTTTCAAAGTCATCTTTCCTTGATCAGCTGACTACAGTATTTTATCATTTTGTAGTTTTTGTTTGCTTCATGGGTGAATACTTCACCAAATTGCATTTAATATCTATTAAATTGGATTTTTAAAATATCAAATGGTTCCATATCTCATTATGTTGTTCTTCATAATTTGTTATTTCTTTCAATTTGATACCACTGCATACTTAGAACTTGATTTCTTTTCTGTCATCCCATCTGCAAACAGGATCCTGACAGGAGTCCTGCCTTTTGAAAACATAAACTTCCTGGGAATGACTATTACATCCCTCTTTTCTTGAAGGAAGCATTTCTATTGCATTTATACTCTTCAGGTAGTTCTTTCCAGGTATCCAAATTGTTTGTTTTTCACTTTTAGCATCTCTGATCTCAGAACTGCTCTGATGAGATGATGTGTTGGTTTTTTTGCCTAGTTGAGCTTTTACATTTACATCTGTTGGCACATACTTACACTGTTCCACGTGCTCTTTGGCTCCC